TTGAAATATTTGAGAAAACCATTCAACAGGACATTTAATTAAGTCCTGCAACAGAACATTCTGATTGGTCAAGAAGCACTATGTGTGTTTTAAGTTATGTTATGTCTCTGAACTTGAGCTTGCAGTGCAAAAATCGAATGATTTATTTCAATTACAGTGACTGAGTGTCATCTGAACTTTAGTATCATTCATTTAGAACTTCTAGAGACCCTTGATGTATTTAGGGTGGTTATAAATAATGGCTGCCCTATGTGAGCTGTGAACGGGAAGGCAACTAGAATGATGGCAATTTCCTCCTTACTATCATATGTTGTACCAATCATAACATATACATTGTATTTAATTCATTTTTACCTTGCCCGTACCATCAAAGATGGAAGGGAAAGGTATATTAGGGGAAAAATTTTGTCCGGCGTTGTCGTCGTTGTCGTCGTTGTCGTCGTTGTTGTCGTCGTTGTCGTTAATAATTGTTATTGTGTGCATAATAATTTTACTAATTCTATTCCAAACTTTATCAAACTTGGTCACCTTATTCATCAGTATAAAGTCTTCCCTGAGTTTGAACAACAGATGTCCTGTATGAAAATATCATGCACAAATTTGAGAAAATCTGATAAAATATTTTGACTGTTTCTACTTGACTGATCACTGGTGATACACATCAAAGGTCACTGATCTCAGTGGAAATATGCATTGTTGTATGTGTTCAATGAAGCAAATGATTTATCTTGTAATAATATCCTTGGTAATGTATCTCAGAATCCCATACTGGGTTTCAAAACCAACTCATGGAGAGAATGCACAGTCTGATACACATTTGCAAACCTACCAATAAAATCTTTACAGAAAACAAGATATAAATCAATATAAGCACTCCTATGAACTGGGTGCCTAACTTTGATCAAGATCTGAAGCTAATAGAAAATCTGTTTAGTTCAAAGTTACCAAATCAAAAACAATACATAAAAAGCAAAACATTTCATCCACATTTTAAAAAGAAAATTGTTCTAAAATATATGTATTCTGTATTTGACAAACAGTTCATTCGACAAATGAAAACTCACAGGAATATGTTTCAGCTATTAGAACAGAATGATAGAGTTTTTATAATACTGGTTTAAAAATGCACTTCAAAGATTGCAGTGTTTGAAAATGTAGATTCTCAGGAGGCAACAGTACTTTTGACTTCTCCCTTCACTGGACACCAACTAACTATTTAAGTTGATTTGCATACAAAGCAGAGCTTGCAACATGATAGCTATTCATAAAGGGTGTTTTTTTTACTTTTCATATAATACAGTAGTCACACAATGAGGCAGTTCATATTTGTCTCAGTGAATCATTAATTTTTTACAGACACCTGTACAAAATACTTGGACAAAAGCCAGCTAAGATTTTCTGTTATCTTGCATGTTTTATAAATCTATTCACGTCTAAATGCAGCACTTTTTTTTTGCGATGAGGCATTTATTTTTATACTAAAATATCTGAATTACTTTGAATAAAGCTGGAAATTATGTCCCTTAAAATAATTAAACAAATAAGGCACCAATGTTTTTGCAAGATATTTACATCTTTAAAGGACATTCGGTAGACTGATTCCCCACTGTTGGTTCAACCCCAAAACTTGTTTGTATTTAAAATTAATTATGACAATGCATATTTATATTGAAACAAACTATGATAAAGGGAATTATATTATATAACAAAGGGCAAGGTCACCAGAGTTCAACTATGTTTGACTTCTTGTTAAAAACCAAAAGTACAATTGCTTTGATATTACATATATAGATACAACATGTGGACCTTTCTCAGATTTGTTCATTTCGTGATGATATCTTAAATTCTCTAATTTTGGTGAATATTTATGTAATTTTTGTGAAAAGTGATATTTTTGAATTCTTGTTGAAAACAGCAAGTCCGATTGCTATACATACTATACATATTGTTCATTTTCTAATGATATCTTCAGTTTTTTAATTGAAATGTGCTTTGCTAACAGTGGAGCTATCTCAGCCGATAGGCTGCTTGTTTTTACTATCACAGGCAGGTGATGAATACAACTGGTGCCAGAGACCGTTGATACAGCTGCACGTAAGAGCATTTCGATCTTCAGGAATTCGCTACCGTTAAACAAATACTCGAGATCCAGCAAGAGGGGTTGGGTTAATGTAATGTTCGAAATTCTGAAATAAAATAGGTGGTCACCGAACCAGGTTTTCCACAAAACGGCACCGAAAATTGATCAAAATGTGTGTTTTGAATAGTTTACAATTGGTAACAATACTAGTATTCTATATCTCAAAATTATGTGACCTATGCTAAAAAATGATATGTGTTAAGGTTACACATGGCTGGCACAAAAAATGATGAATTTTAAATATATTAGTGTAAGTTATTCACGGAATAATGTGTATACATGGATTTCTATGGAAAATGCTCTTAAAAATGGCCGCTTTCTGGATTACTAGTGTTTTGCATATGTTTTCATGAAAACACGTCCTTCTTTCTCCGTAAACACTTATAAATATGAATAACGTTTATGTGCGTGAATCATCACACAACAATGTTTGAATGATTTATCATCATCATGTTTTAATGGTAGCTAATGTTTACAGTGTCCAAAGTACCGGGCAAAGGAGATTTATTGCGCGATAATTCTACATCTTATAATAATTGTGATCCGCGACATGATTCAAACGTGACTGTGACCTCAATCACTATCGCTTAG